TGCGACTTCTGCGGCGTTGGCAGCTGCTCTGTTAGCGAGAGTCTGTGCTTGTTGCTTTGCGACATAGGTTTTGGCAGCAAGAGCTGCGGACAGGGCTGCATGGTTAGAGATGGCGACGGGCGGAGGAGAAAATATTGAAGGCTGCTCGAAATATGTGGGGAAGGATGGCGCTGCGTTGAAACCAAAGTTAGGAACTCCAGAAAAACCAAATCCAGGAACTTCACCTCCGAATCCGCCGTATCCAAGGCCAGAGACACCGCGTTTGCTTGTCTTTTTCTCTAGTCTGTTATTAAAGTGCTCTTCGTCACGCATAGCAGACACCGCAAGTAACAGACCGGCGAGAAGGACAAATACCTAGTTACGATAGACGGTACCATATTAACATCGCTGTCTGTTTGCTACTAGACATAGAACACTAAAAAATAATCTTACCCTATCTGGCACTTGTCTATTTTCTGGAGCGACTTGTGAAGTACATCCCAGCTTCATAAAAGAACAACTTACTTGAATTATCTTCTAGTTATATGCGCATTATTGAGTCGCGGTGCCAAAAACTTTACTTATTGTGTAAAAGATTTTCCGTTGCCAAACTATAAGTCAACTTGTTTCAAACGATCTTCGCCCTGATAATGGAAGCATCAAGGACCTCTGAAATCTTAGAAAATTTCTACCAGACTATACAGCGCGCACCCAGAAGACAGCCATCTTTGTGTTCACCGCCGTGAAAACCTCAAATCTACTTCTTTGAAGATTAATTTTAAATGTATGTCATTTGTGTGAAGAAACAGGAAATAATTTATCACCAGAATTAACGAATTTCTATTTCGAATATGAACTTAGGAAAGTTCAACAAATTCAGGTTCTCGTGGAATGAAATCGACCACCCCAGCGTTTTGATTATACTGATTATGTACGTTTATTGAAAGAAAATACATAAGGTCTCTTATTAGACTTATTAGGATTTTTAGACATTTAATTAATAATGACGTGAATATTCTAATTAATTTTCAATATAAAATGGTAAACATATTGAGTTCAGAAATGCAATGTATCGTAAAATATGTAACATTTCAAACTCTTAACTTTGCTATTAGTAGTTGCACTTGAATCCTAAGATTCACCGTGGTCCCGATTGAAGGACTTTGGTGGTGCAGTGTTAACATTGGGGTGTAGATTGTACGATTTTTCATCCAAATACCTCGAAGAAGGTTTGGTTAGGTTTCACGTTCAGTTTATGATGTCAAGATGTCTGTCTTCTGGGATGTTGCTCTGTGTAGTCTGGTACAAGTTTACTGACGTTTAAGAGGTCCTTGCTGCCTTCATTATCAGGATTACGAGTGTCCAACAACCAAGACAAAAACTTTAACTCTCACAAAATTTATGATTTGGGTGGAATTATTTTAGAAGAGTCGACAGCCGAGACTTATCAGTGTTCAGAATGACCTCTTTACGAGAGGTTTTACAACAAAAACTAAGTATTCGTTTCTTATCCTATATCCAAACTATATATTTAGCCCAACTTTACACCGTTGGTGTCAATAGCCTATCAGACGGCCAGTATAAAGTATGGAAGATTTTGGTTATGTAAGCTGTGCCCCGAATAACTTAAATTGTCCGATCATTTGTTCTCCCTCTGGGCCGTATATTTATATTTTTGAAATTTATTCCATCCCTTCAAAGTAAGATACCACGTTTTGCATCTATACAAAACAACTAGAATATTTTGTAATATTATATACAGGCCCTATATTACGTATATAGTTAGGCTATGTACAGTATAAATTTTACATTTCTGTACAGAGTAACAACAAACATTTTCTGAGTTTATTCATTTTATTTGAACAAAATTTAATTTGTATGTAGTATTATTTTCTATATATATTTTATAATTCTGACTTACCATTTGGATGCTCATGGCTAAGAGTATGACGGATTTTTTCCTTGAGAATGGATGATCACTACAAGCTTACTGATGAACCGTGTCGAAGATTGGTCGATATTTATACCAGGGACGAGGACGCCCTTTTCATACACCCACCCAATTCCGGAGATGGACACAATACTGAGAAGACACACCCACATTACATTGTTACTGTCATTATTATAATAATTTCTTCTGTTAACTTTCACACGCACTAAGGTGCAACATGGAAGACTTCCCTTTCAGATAATCTTTAATTACTCTTTGAAATTCTTGATTACACAAAATTGACATGAAATGTTTCTACAGCATCACGATCCAAAGTCTTAACAACGAAAACTTTTCCTTTCCCTTAACATACGTGATCATTATTGCAGACCAATAAGGAAACGGTGGAAGTCTGATCCCTCAGAACATGGCTAAAACCTCTTAGGTTCTTAAATTTGTACACGAATTAATTACTGAAATTATATTTGACGATCGAAAAGCAAACACTGGCTTACCAACTAACTTAAATACTTGATCAAGTTTAATGACTTTACCCTGAAGATAGAGACATACGTATGCCTTGTCGTTTACAAGAATATAGACAAAAGGCATCTTTAATACTACAAACTAACGTTTAATCAATTTTGAAGTCACATCAGATTAAGAAGTAACTTTAAATATGATAAATATAGTAATTAAATGTCTGTCAGAAATTTTGCATGCTTAAACAAGATAAGACAAAACATGCATACACGTGTCTGCTTGTAATTTTATGTCTAAAAATTTAAAAGTTTGTTTGACACAGGTCTATAAAAATTATGGTATTTAAACATAGCAGAGTCATTAATAAATACTCACCTCCTTAGTTTGTAACCATAGAAGGTTTACACTGAAAGTCAGATGTCAGAAACTGTTGGCCGATTTTCGAATTAAAACTAAACACTTTGCCAGTGTTGTGGACTGGTTTGTAATGCGAAAGTCTTTAAAGCGTAAGAACTATGTTATTTGCGAACTCGGCATCTGGGGGAACCATTTCCATTTAGTCTAAATTTGTGTACACTTGGGCAGACAAATAATGCAGTGAGTAAGAGTGAGACAGGTTTGCCATAAGACATATTCGAAATAAAATAGGTTGCTTATTTTTAGAATGGTCCAAAATGTACCTATTAAGTTTAATGCTAATCTGTTTAAAAATAAATATACAATTAAAGTTTCAAAATGTCTAAAGTATTTTATTGCATGCTTCTGTGAAGTGATATATTATAGGCTGTGTAAGGACATATGAGGAACATGAAATTGGAAGTATGTTTATTAGAACAGATTAATAAGGTACTTGTTCTCCAAAGATAACGTTACTGAAACATAATATTTAATGTGTTAGAAAGTAATTTTAATATAACATTGTAAATGTATTCAGAATCACACAAAACCATAAGATGTTTCTGTCACAAGTGGACTTTAACATAAAGCCGGCATCGATAGCTCGACAGACTGAAGGCTTTTAACACATTTTAAATTTGACACTATGATGCGTACAGGATTACACAGATTTTCTGGTTAAAATATATTAATATATATAGATGAGTTTTAAAGTTCTCATGGCGGCTAGTATGAAGATTGCTGTCTTCCGGGTTGTTGGGCCGTGTAGTCTGGTAGATGTCCACCAACGTTTCAGAGGTCCTTGCTGCCTCCATTAGCAGGGCGATAAATCTTTGGTGGAAATCTACCAGACTACACGGCGCAAGAACCCAGAGGACAGCAATCTTCAGACTCACCGCAGTGAAAACCTCAAATCCTATCTTGCATGACTTGTAGGTAGTTACAAATGTTTCGGAAAAACATACTGTCTTTATCTTCTGGGCTTCCTCGGCTTTAGTACTCGAAATAACTCCATCGATAGTACAGCGCCTAGTTTCGTGGGTTTCGTGACTCGCATTGTACTTGGAAAATATTGATGTAACTTAAACTAGAATGTTTATTGTGTGATCTACGTTAAGACTTATTGGAATTAAAGACGTTTTCATTATGCTACATTGTCGACTTACTGTAAATTTTGTAAATCTAATTTTATTACAGTTCTGTAACATTTATATTTTCCAGAAACGTTTCAATAGAGTTTATGGCGATAGTGTTGGTCCTATGGTAATGGTGAAATGCAAACTTCATTAAATGAAACTGGGCAAATTAACATGGTATGACAACAGATGCTTTTATTAACAGCGTGTTGAGACAATACACTTACAAACATTGTTAGATACTTTCTGATTACTGCTGCAGAATTCATGACTATTTCTCTTACGTAAAACTGAATACTGTCCGCGCGCCAAGGCATGTCCCCAGGGAGTGGGTGGGC